GAAAAAGGAGAGAAACATTAAAATATTACTAATTGAATTAAAAAAAACCCACCAGTATGGTTATAAAACATCAGTTTTAGATTTTAAATCCTGGATTTAAATCCTGGTTTTGTCACTACAACTGTATGACATTGGCCAACTTACTAAATTTCTTTGAGCCACACATCAACTCTAAAAAGGATTAAATAGTAAGAGAAGCCCAAACCAAAATCCTTGCTTTGCCATTTGCCATTGTACAACCCTGGGTAAGTTACTAAACTTCCCTATGCTTTCTTTAGTTTCTTCATCTGCAACTTGGAGGTAACAACCCCCTAGGTGTGTGGTGAGGATTAAATGAGTTAACATTTAGAACAATTCCAATCCCATAGTAAGCCCCTCAATAAGTGTTAGTGTTACTTCCCTGCTCAGTAATTACAAAATCTTTAACGAGTATATGTACATCAAGTGCTTTGCATGGTATCTAGCACAACAACTCTTGGTCACTGTTAGTATCACTCATCAATCCAAGATTAAGTTTTTGTTTGTTTTTTATTTGAGACAGAGTCTCGCTTTGTTGCCCAGGCTAGAGTGAGTGCCGTGGCGTCAGCCTAGCTTACAGCAACCTCAATCTCCTGGGCTCAAGCAATCCTTCTGCCTCAGCCTCCCAAGTAGCTGGGACTACAGGCATGCGCCACCATGCCCGGCTAATTTTTTCTATATGTATTAGTGGGCCAATTAATTTATTTCTATTTTTATAGTGGAGACGGGGTCTCGCTCTTGCTCAGGCTGGTTTCGAACTCCTGACCTCAAGCAATCTGCCTGCCTCGGCCTCCCAGAGTGCTAGGATTACAGGCATGAGCCACCGCGCCCGGCCTCAAGATTAAGTTTTGATATAGACATTGTTGAAAGCTGAACAAGCAAATCCCAGTGTCTTTGCTTACTATAATAAGCAAAACCACTGTGACTACCACCCTAGTCATAGCAGTGTTTCAGAAGGAGGAGCTCGAGGTTAAGATTTTGGAGGACTGGTTGGAGGCAGGTCCTTCTGTGCAGGTGTGGGACCTGACTGAGTCTGGGCAAGGCTTATAATTTAATAGGCACAGAGAAGAGATTGCTGCTGTGAATTGAGCCTTAAGGAATAAACAGTCACTTGATAAGCCCAGTCGATCAATCTGTTTTTCTGAAAAGGGAGCTATTAACCCTGCTAAGAGCTAGTTGAGTCCATAGTTCAGATAAATGAGTTTTTAGAAAGTTCCTGAAATAAACCATAAAGTTATTTGCAATGTCATCTTCCTGGGCAAGAATTTCCTGGGAGAATCAAGTATTGTTAATGGACATGGCCTCTGTTCTTAATTAAGCTGTGAGGCTGTAGGTGGTTTCACATTGCTGTCCTTTAGTGCCCATTGTTCTTAATACTTTGTCTTTAACCAAAGCAACCCTTTCTGGAGCTTATGAAGGCATGAAAATCAACTGAATTCAGCTTGTATATGTGGACAGGCATTGGGGGTTCATCTTGCCTTCAAAGAGAACAGATCTAAACCCAACAGGACAGATGACAATGTTCATATATCTCAAAGAAAACCTGTCGCATGTGCCCGGAAATGATGTGTCTGTGAGATTTCATAAAGCTAGTGGTTAAAGTTGAGGCATTGATTGTAGCTTTTGATGGCACAGATGTTATGCACCTTTGAGACAAGCGTCTATGTGACCTCTAATTGCCATTTCTTCCTCAGTCAGAATGCTAGCAAGTGAGCTTAGGTCCCTGGGTCTGAGGGCAGGCTTAGGACCACAACGGACCATCTTATGCTCTGCAATGACAATGTTTCAAAAGACACCATGGAGGCCTCAACAAGAGCTGCAGTGACACACCTTTCTCACTGCGGCTCACTAGTGCCTCTTCTCCCTACGATGCTTGAGCCATCCTCATGGCAGGGAAGCTTCTTGTTCACACTGCTGTTTGCCTTGGTCTATGAAATTCTAGTTTATTTTACCCCATGCTCCTTCCACAGTGAGCTGAGTCAGTTCTTGCTCGTGCTTCTCTGTTATTTTGATGGGTCTCAGCATTTGCTGTTTTCTTCTCCATCTGAATACAAAACTATTCACTTTATCTTTTAGTCTCATTCCACGCTTGTTCAGTTTTCTCCTCATCTCCCCGTGCTGGAGTTTCCCAACAGCCCCCAATAACCGCAGCAGTATATCCTCGCAATGGACATCTGCGTATCTGATAGCTGGAAATTGTAGCATACCAATATTTGCAAACACTGCTTGATGGAAGCTGGAATTTATTTTGAGGGGGAAATTTCCGTCAGTTCAGGGAAGGAACACATTGTGAGTCCTTTCTGTCATCTGGATGTAAATAAGTGAAGTTCTTACTCAAAAGTAGTTGCTTCAGGCTGAGACATTACACATAGAACATAATTGATGGTGTTTTGAAAGGCCACCTTGCTGTGAACAGGCACGGCTCTGCAGAGATTATTGGGATGTGAGGCAATCTGGAGGGTGGGCCAGGCAGCAGCAGCAGGAGGACAGGGGCAACCTTAGGAGGAAGTCACTGCAGCAGGGAGGGTTGACAAGGGATTAGCCCTCTGAACAGACACAACCAATGGCCTTCCAGAGCCGGAATATTTGATGTTGGGTGTTAAACTCTTCTTTTTGTATTTTTAGTTTGCTAGCGGATTTGGTTATAGTTAACAATGTTGTATTCTCAGTGCCTTGGGGGAAAAAAGAGGAATAAAGGCATGTACTCCTACTTGGGAATGAAGCAAGCCCATAGTATCAGTGACACAGCCACAATATGAGTAAAGATTAGGTTCATTGCAAGTGATAGAAAACTGAACATGAGGAAGTGTAAACAAGATAGGAATTGTTTTCTCTGTCACGTAAAGAAAGTCCAGAGACAAGCAGTCCAGGAGCGGATGGGGGCTCTACGATCACCAGGAACCTTGGGTCTTTTTATTCTGTTGCTTCACCATCTTCAACATGTGGCACCACCCATGGTCCCAAATGACTGCTGGAGTGACAGCCACCACGTTCACGTTCCAGCTGCAGGAAGGAGGGAGGAGGTGAAGAAGGTCGCTCCCCTGAACTCGAAGGATACCTCCTCAAGCCCCACATGTCACCTCAACTTACAGCTAATGGAACAGACATACTCCTACGACCACACCAAGCTGCAAGGGAGGCTGGGAAATGTAATTTTTACCTTGGGTGCCCATGTGTTCAATTTAAAATCAGAAGTTCTATTAGTACAGAGGAGACAAGAGTGATGTTGCCCGATGATAGACATAATAATGCCTCCTTCCCCAACGTGTCCATGTGCTAATCTTGGGACCTTACATGGCAAAAGAGACTCTGTAGATGTGATTCAATTAAGGTCCTTGAGATGAGGCATTTATCCTGGGTTATCTGGGTAAACCCAATGTCATCACATGAATCCTTAAAAGCAAAGAACCTTTCCTGGCATAGTCAGAGGGAGACATGATGACAGAAAGAAGGGACAAAAAACTGACACTGCTGGCTTTGCAGGTGGAAGGGGACCATGAGTGGAGGATTACAGGTGGCCACTAGAAGCTGGAAAAGGCAAAGAAATGGACTGTTCTGAGGAGTCCCCAGCATGGAGCCTTGATGATACCTTGATTTTAGCCCAGTAAAACTCACATCGGACTTCTGACCTACAGACTGTAAGATAAATTTGTGTGTTTTAATCCACTAAAGTTGTGGTAATTTGTTGCAGCATAGGAAGCTAACACAGGCACACACCTGTATTAAAACGGTCTGCTACAGCCATGCAGATGTATGTGATCCAGAAATAGCTAGAGACAGGGGAAAGCCACAGCACGAGCCCACGGCTAGTGTGGCAGGCAGCAGCAATGGATTTATACAAACTCACATACTCACCCAGGATCCTTAGAAGTAATCCCTGGCGAGGGGACTGGGCTATCTGAAGAATGAGGCCTGAACTGTTGTTATTTAAATATTAAAGGAAAGGATGACTCTCCCTTTGCTTTGGATAACACAGAGCTAGTTATATCGTCCCCTCTCAGCCCTGCCAAATATGTGTTCCTAGAAAGAGAACTATGGCAGGGAATGGATGTTGATTATCTAGAGAACTTGGGTGCTGTGGTGGAAAGTTAAGACTAGAGGACCCATATTTCATTCATTCAACATACATTCACTGAATACCTACAGGGTGTCTATAAAGTCTGGCAACAGAGATTGTTTTTTATATTTTACAAATCAAAGATGTCCTTGACAACATTGTGCTTGGTGGCCTATGTTTTCAGACTCTGTGGCTCCTTGCCATGTGCCCAAAAAAGCAATGAACTGGACAGGTGTGGGCCTGCCCGCATGGAGCTCACTGTCTACGAGGAAGAGAAACAACCAAACAAGTCATGACTGTAGAGAAGGAGGAGGGCTCTACACTCATTGGTTCAAATCTTAGCACTGACCTTGAGCAGATTACTTAACCTCTCTGTGCCTTTATTATAGAAAGCAACTTCTAGGGTTGTTGCTAGGATTAAACGAGTTAACACATGTATAATGCACCTAGAACAACTCCTACACACAGTGAGCACCTAAATACCTATTAGCTGCTACCAGAATTATTACCAGCCATGTGACCCAGCGCCTGGGCCTCTTTTCCCCATCCTAATAGCCTATAGGCCTCACAGGCTTTGTCAGCTCAGATGAAGTGGTGTATGTAAAAGACATTTATGTTCTATTACAGTGCATTACAAAGGTATTGTGCCATCATCATGGGTTTAGTTACTTCTGATGTTTGCTGTTTACTCTCTGTCACTACAGGTCAGCTCAGGATGGCAAGAATCTCTTTGTCTTTTGTCACAGATACATCCCAAGCTCCAAGAACAGTGCCGGGTACTAAAGCATTCAGTAGAGAGTTGTCAATTTTCTCAAATGAATCAATAACTTAATGAATAAATAAGTAAATGATCCTGGGTGTATGAATCTGCTTGGGCTGCCCTAAGAGAATGCCATAGATTTAGGTGGCTTAAACAACAGAAATTTATTTTTCACAGTTCTGGAGGCTAGAAGCCCAAGAGCAAGGCATCAGCCATTCTGGTTCCAGGTACAGGCTTTCTTCTTGGCGTATAGGTGGCCGCCTTCTCTCTGTGTCCTCCATGGCGGAGAGTGAGACAGAGAGGAGATACCGAGTGCTGGTATCTCCACTTGCAAGGCCGCTCATCCCATGATGAGGGCCCCACTCCTCTGACCTCCTTTAACCTGAATTACTTCCTCAGAGGCCCTATCTCAAAACACAGTCACATTAGAGGTGAGGGTTTCAACATCTGAATGTGGGGAAGGACACAATTCATTCTGTAACCCTGAGTGAGTGCATACAGGGTCCATACATTGATTGCAGCTTGTCGCTTCTTGCCATGAACTTCTTCGAGCTCTGGCCATTTCATACGTGCACCACTGCTGTCACCACCACCACCTTTGTCCTTATCATCAACAATGTATGGTCTCCTTCCCAGAGAGTGATTCTCTCACATTCCTGGGACTGCAGCGTGAGCAAGGCAAATGTCTAGTGTGACCAAGAAAAAAAAGAGTCTTATGGATTTTTACAACCAAGAAGAGGCAGATCCATTTGGCCTTGTCAAAAGACAAAATTCCAACAAATTTAGTTATAGATCTAATCAGGTTTTATTTGAGATTCATGAATCAAGGCAGCCTCTACTCTGCAAAATAGAATAAGGTCTCCCAATGGACAACAGCAGAACTGTGGGTTTTGTGAGTTGGGAACAAGGAAATAGAACAATAGGAAAAAGCTGATTGGTTAACATCAGGTTATTTCAGGTTAGTATTTGTAAATATTTAAGCAGAGGGACTTCCTTGTTACACTGACTCAGGTAGACTGAAATCTCCTTTCTCAGAAAAAACTGGTCTATGTTGGGATCTGTCTGCTTCCTTAGAGCTTCCATTTGAATATGTGGCATTTAGCATGAGTGACTCCATTTTGGATCGGGCTATTCTGTTGGGCCCCAGTGCGGGAGCCCAGTCCAGAACAATGGCCTCCTGTCATTCTGTTTAATAGCCTGAACTTAGGTTCTTCAGTGACCTGAATCTTCAGCTAGACCAAAGTCTTCTGCTGAGCTGCTTTCTTGGAATGTCAGGCTGACCTGCTGAGGGCCACAAAAAATTCAGCAGATACAAGTACTGTCCATGAACTCTAATAATTTGTGTTCGTGGTGCATTTGTTGCTTACAGGACATTGTCAATCAATTGTTGCAATATGCATTTATATTTATGAATTTATAAATGTTGTAAATAATGTGATGGTTACTGAAAAGCATGCTGCCAAATCTTACGCATATGCTGATTATCAATCTATATGTGTATGTATCAATGTGTGTAAATATGTCAGTTTTGTTTGCAGGGCAAAAACCACCTGTCATTTATAACTCTTAGGGCTCTTCTCTCTAAATATGACATATGCCTAGTGGTATCAAACAAAACAAGACTCCAAATGGTGACTAAATGGTCCTTTCTCTTGTGGCAGCTACTTTAATCTGTAACAAAACAAGCAAAATAAAAACTAGACTACATATAAAGCTCACCACCAAGAAAACAAGTCACAAACTGAACAAAGCACTTTCCTTCAGGCTAGATCTTACAGACAAACCCAGCACCGATTTATTTCAAAGTCATTTCTAAAGAGTCTCAGAAAGCCACCCAGACTCGCCCACAAGTTGGTTAGCTTCAGGTCATGCTTCCAGTGGGGAGGTGACCTCTGAGTCACACCTGTTTCACAGCCCTGCTAGCACTCAAGGGGCCTAATTAAAGGCCACAGGCAGGGTGGCAGTTAGTCCAGGAGACCCAAGGGCCACGCCCATATTCTGCTTGGGTCATGTTACCCGTGGTTGTCATGGAGACAGCCAGCATTCTTCATGAATGAACAGCTGTTTTGCCACTCTGCCAGGGTCTGGGCGAGCTGGCTCCTTGCAGAGGAGCACACTGCTGAAGACGGGCTCAAAGGCAAGAGTGGCCCAGTCCTTCATGGGCGCCGATTGAGCTCTGCTATAGAAAATGTTTGACACAAAGACTGTTTTTTCCTCTTCCCTCCCAGCCCAAACATGGCTTGATTGTTAAAACAGCCATGAATAACCACGACTGGCTTTGGGCCCTGTTGATGGCTACACACACTAATTTTCCACATCCTTCAAAACCCTTTCTGAAGGGTGTTGTGGAGAAAATCCCAGAAGACAAACACTGTGTAAATGAACCCAAACACAGAGGGTTGTTATCAGAGGCCCTGGAATAGCCTTTTACGCATGCAGAGTTTGTGCCCAAGTCACCACCTTCTCACTAAACAAAAGGATGTTTATTCTTGCTGAGTCCGTCTTCCTTATTCTATTAAGTTGCAGCTTGCTGGATGCAAACTTTGTGTTGTGCTCTGGCTCTGTATTTGCTATTTGCAGAGCAGAACACTACTTTGCAGTGGAGGATACAGCTATGGGTATGTGAGTCTCTGCCCTCAATTTGCTCATAGTGGCTTGGACCCATAAATCAACAATGGTGGTAGAACAGAATAGTGGCACCTAGCTGATACAGGGGCTGCCAGGGTTAATCCTGTGAGAGGACCAACTCTAGCGCTGAACAAATGGAGGACAAATCATTTAAATGCATGGCTTTAAAGCACTGAGGTCAGGACTGTGCAGCCATTAAAGAGAATGAGGCAGAGCCTTATGTGCTGACACAGGACAAGCCCAGAAACACACCGGAGACTGACAAAGTACAGAGCAGAGCCGTGTGTATGATGTGTTCCCATTTGCGGATGGGAGAGGGGAGGGGAGGGAAGATGATGAATATGCAGAGGATAATCCCAGAAGCATCCCCAGGAAACTGGTAACAGAAATTTCATTTAGGAACAGAAATTGGGTGGCTGGGAATTGGGTGGGGGTTGGGGTGGGACTTTTCACTATATTTTGAATTTGTTACAATATAAATGTGTTATCTTTTGATAGCTTTTGAATTTAACTTGGCACAATTTTTAAGACACATATACATAGCATTCTTCATTTGAGAGTAAAAGGGAAGAAACATTGTATATATGTGTGTAGGGGGAGGTGAGTGGGTGTGTTCAATGCAATCTGAATCAAAATCTCAGAATGCTTTTTTTGCAGAAATTGGCAGACTGCTTCTAAAATTCTCATGGGAATACAAAGGACCTAGAAGAGCCAAAATAAATTTGGAAAAGAATAAAGTTGGAGGACTAACATTACTTGATTTCAAGAATTATTATTGGCCGGGTGCAGTGGCTCACGCCTGTAATCCTAGCACTCTGGGAGGTGAAAGACAGGAGGATTGCTTGAGCTCAAAAGTTCAAGACCAGCCTGAGCAAGAGTGATACCCTGCCTCTATAAATAGAAAAGAAATTAGCCAAACAACTAAAAATGGTTGAGCATGGTGGTGCGTGCCTGTAATCTCAGTTACCAGCAAGACTGAGGCAGTAGGATCTCTTGAGCCCAAGAGTTAGAGGTTGCTGTGAGCTAGGCTGACACCACAGCACTCGCCCGGGGAAGAGTGAGATTCTGTCTCAAAAAAACAAAAACAAAAATATTATTATAGACTACTCTAGGGCCTGCCAACCTGCCAACTTGACTTCCCAGCCCCCTGCTTTCCTTGCCAGCAGCATGCTCAGAAAGGCCATGACCTTCTCTGCTTTGTGTGCGCTGGCTATGACTTTCCCTCACTACCTCCAGAATCAACCAGTGACCTACTAAAACCAACTACAGAGCTAGGCTTGACCACGCATGTGTACTTGGAGAACATGCTCTGGAATTCTCTGCTGATGTGGAGTCAGCCACCTCCACTTTGTGGAAGAAGTCACGGAGAGCTGATTGCAATATGCTTCAGACAGAGAACTTCATGAGTGCAGACTTTGTAGCCATCACTGCTGTTTATTCTGAAGAGCCCATGGCTGGACCAGCAGATCAGCCCAACACCTCCACAGGAAGCAATGAGCACAACTCAGTGCGTGTTTAAAATGAAGCATCTTTTCCACCAGCTGTATCTATCACTGTGCTATCTGCCACTTTCTAAGAAGATTGAGGTTTTGCACAAGCCTACCACTACACTATGGAAGACTGCATAACCGTAGAAAATGAGAGATACATAGGCTCTACCTAGATGAGGAGCAACAGGCATTGATCCTGGCTGGCTGGAATGAATTCCGGAGGGAAATTTCATAGCTGTGCTCCATTTAATATGGGCTCAATAAATGTTCATTTGAATTGAAAGAAAAAAAGAATGATTATAAAGCTACGCTATTCAAAACACCATGGTATTGGTATAATGGTAGACAAACAGATCAATGGTATAGATTAGAAAGTACATTTGCAGAAAAATCTCTAGAAGTATATACAGGAAGCTAATGATGGCTGGCACTTACCTTCTTTCAGGTCACAGCCTGGTGATGGAGACTGGGAGGGGACACTTTTCACTGTACATTTATTTAATGTTCGAATCACATGCATGTATTACCTATCCAAAAAATAAAATTAAAAAAGCACTTATGCCACTTCTTAAAGCACAGTTTATGCTAACTTATCAGGAAACATTGAATAGCTTCCAGTTTGGTAAACAAAAAAGTGAGAAATCAAATGGTCTTTCAGATCAATTTAAACCAAGGGTAGGTTCCTGGAACTCTGAGTTTTCAAGATGGTTAGTCATCCTTTCTGAGCACTTAGGAATAGTCATGTCTGAAAAAGGTTGTTCAACCCTGTGACTAATGTTCCTTGGTCAAGTCTGGTCCCAAAGCCACAGAACTCTGTGTTAAGAGTGGGGCTTGATTTCTGGTTCCTATCTGCATCTGACATCTCGGTAAACAGGAAGCATTTTTCCTTTCCTTCCTTTCTTTTTTCTTTTTTTTAAAGGCAGCTTTATTAGGTATAACTGATAGGCAATTTGATATATATACAATATCCCAAAGAGTAAGCATATGCATGACCCCCAAAATTTCCTCGGGCCCTTGGTAACCTGTCTCTCATGACCCTCCCACTTTCAAGCCTAAACTGACACTGATGCGCATCCTGTCAATACAAGTTAGTTGCCATTTTCTAGAATTTTGTATAAATGGAATCATATAATATTTACTCTTTTTTGTCTGGCTTTTCTCACTCAGAATAATTATTTTGAGATTCACTCATGTTGTTGAGTGTTATCAGTAGTTCATTTCTTTTCATTGCTGAGTATTACTCTATTATGTGGATGTATCACAATTTTTTCATCCATTTGCTCATTGATAGCTATTTGAGTAGTTGTTTGGAGCTATTACCACTAAAGCTGCTGTGGACATTGGTATATGTTTCTTTGTATGGATTAATATTTTCTTTTCTTTTGGTTAAATATCTAGAGTGCCATGGCTGGAAAATACAGGAAGTATGTGTGTAACTTTTTAAGAAACTGACAGATTCTTAGTTCTAGTAGGTTCTTAGAAGATTCCATCAGATTTCCTGGTGGAATTTCTAATGGAAAATCCAATCAGATTTTCTGATGGAATGATCTCATAAATGCTCATGTATGCAAATAGACATAGTTTTACTTGTTCTTATCCAGTCTAGATGTCTTTATATTTTATTTTATTTCATTTTGCTTGATTGCCTTGGATAGAATCCTCAACACAATGTTAAATAAGAGTAGTGGGAACAAATGTCTCTGTGTTATTCCTCCTCTTAGGTGGAAAGAATTCTGTCTTTCAATAGCAAGTATGATATTAAACAAGGGCTCCTGCAGATGACCTTTATCAAGCTGAGGAAGTTCCCTTTTATTAGTTTGCTGAGAGTTTTTATCAGGAATGAATGTTGGATTTTGTCATCACCTAAGAGTTTTTCTCCACCTATGGAGATGATCATATGATTTGCTTTGTTATGCTTGGGGAAGGATTGTTGTTGTTAGTTAATATAGTTGATCAATTAATAACAATAATTGGATTAATCAAGATGGCGGATGAGAAACACTGCCAGACATAGTGTCTCTGCAGAAAAGACAGATTCTAGGAGAAATCAGAAGAAGCGAGCAGACGAGCATACATCGGAGGAAGGTTGGAAGGAGGGGTACCTGAGACCTTGGAAGACTCCACAGGAGGAGGTTGCGGAGGAGAACTGGAAGCGGAGACCTCCAGAGCAGCCTGGAGACCAGCAGCAAGGGTAGGTGGAGCGGTTAACTTTCCCCTCTCTTGCATCTGGGACTGCTGGTGGGCTCCCCAGCGGGTGGAGAGACCTGCGGACACCAGCCCAGAGACGGCTGCTGCCAGTGAGTGGTAAGCCTGTGGCAGACCCGGCACCAGGCTCCCAACTCCCTTGGGGCACCTCCGTGTGCACAGACCCAAGCCGCGAGGCAGAAGCCATATTGCCTCCTTCTCCCCTCCCCCGTCCCTATCCGCAGCTACCGAGAGAGACAATATAGCCACCAGCCAGAGGTACCTCGAAGGAACAGGACCTTCCCTTTTGGGGCCCTACAGCTGACTGAGGGGTACTCAGACAGTGAGCTCCCTACTGGCCAGGTTTCATTTCTTCCCTACCCAAGGCAGCATTTCTCAAAGCATAGAGCAATGACTTAGGATATTCATTTAAAATTCAAATTATGGGCATGAATTTACCAGTGGCATCAGTATTCCTAAAGGTTGGTTCCAACACCAGCATTTTAAATAGGCACCCTGGGCAACAGGTCTCGAGAGCCTTCCCTAAGGTTCTGCAGCATAGACAACCTTATTGTATAACGTGAATCCAAAGCCAAGATATCTAATGGCTGCTCTCCACTTAAGAACTGCCCTGAAATTCCACTGTCAAGATCTTAATCCTTCAGCTAAAGAGATGAAGGATTAAAAAGCAGAATGCCTATTAAAAAGCAAATGCCTGTGCCACTGAGCTGGATGCTTTTGATCTCTTCCCATAGAAGAGCTTTCTTCCAAATTCTTACATCCCTATCTCAAATCGCTGAATGCAAGTACAACTTGACAGTTCTCTACTCCAAGAGGTACATGGCATGCAACTTACCTGGTTACTGGTCCGTGTTGGAAGCTACTTGATGAGAATGTCTTGTGCAAGCTAGTATCAGACATTTACATCTTAGTCCAAAAGAGCAGCCGTGGGGAGATGAAAAGGCTGCTATTCATTCATTCATTCATTCATTCATTCATTCATTCATTCATTGTGTGAGCGACAGTTCACCACTCATGCCATCTGGGCTTCAGGTTCCCTTCTGAGAAATGGGGCTTTAATACCTGCCCCTCCCACCTGGTAGGGGCTATCATGACCACCCCAGGGCTCCAGGGAGTGAGAGGCTTGTCCTGATGAAGGGTGCAAGCCACAAAGCAAGTACAGGAGCTGTCTGGAGTCCTGGGAGAGGAGAGACAGCCTGCTTCTCGGTTTGCCTAGAGTCTGAACTGTATGGTAGTCAGGGCACACAGGCTCAAGCCAATCTGCAAGTCAGTCAATATTGCAAACCATACATAGTAGTATACGTAATCAATACATAAATGTTATAGATCTGACTTTCCACATCAAAAAGAGTAACACTAAACACCAAGAGAAAAGGGGATAGGAAAAAAGATTAACAAACCAGCCCAAGGAAAGTGAGAATGTGGACAAGAACAATGCTCTGGGCTGATCCAGATGGTTGTCAGCACCTTGCAAGGGAGAGTCCTTGGCTTGGGCAGATGCCAGGTACTGACCACGAGTGACAGCAGGATGACGTCTAGTCAGATGACTGTGTTGTACTGGTGAAGTTCTGCTCTTCTTGTAGTCCTTGAGTCCTCTGGTGAGGGATTATAGTAAAGGATGTGTCTGGTTCAGTGTAGTCTCTATTGGTTAGGTGAATGTCTGGTCCCATTGGCATTATGCCTTTTGAAATGTAAGATGGAGTCTTTTTCTAAGATGGAGTTACTAATGTCAAGGGTGCTCTATACAGGGGTCTACACAGGAGAGCTTTGGTCCAGCCTTAGTCTGGTTGGAACCACCTCATCTGTGGGGTTTCCACTTATGGCTAGGCTCTTACTCCCACACTTCCCCCAGGATGCCCCAGATTCCAAGGTGGACCTTTATTCCTTCAGTTTAAGACTTTAGCACCTTATTAAATGCTAATGCTCCTCATATAGGTAGACATAGCCTATGACTTCCTCATTCATCAAACCCTTCCATAAGGATGTAAGAGCAAACCACACAGGCTAGAGAGGGAAGAAGGAAATGCTTCTACTGATGCTGATGTTGATAAAGGTCCTTTTCTAGTTTTTTTCTTATCTTGCCATTTATGACTAAGAAAGGGATTGTGGTGATGTGAAAAATAAGGTCGAAACCTTATTTTTCCTTCCGTTTTCCTCTGTTTCTTTCCTGTCTTTTAGTTTCTGGCTTCATTAGTAATCATGATAGCTGATCCAGATAAAGAATTGCACAATTTCATTAATAAGTTGGAAAGCAGCATTTAAATAATTAATCATCTCTACATAATAATAGAAGTTTTAAAATTGATAAGACTGGCTAAAATCAAACTCTCATGATATGCAAAGACCTAGTGGAAGTGGAATAGGCTTTGAACCTAAATGATTTCTAGAGATATACAAATCTATTTCTGACTATTCATATACTTTCAGATGTTTCTCATCATTGGTAATGACAAGAACGAGAAAGGTGAAGCCAGACCATCCTAGCAGAAGCCGAGGAAGCTGAGAGAGGAATCCGGGAGATGTGAGATCTGGGTACCAGGCTTGGCTGTAACCATCCTTCTTGACACCTCTATGCAGTGATGGCCTCTAAGAATCCCAGGCGCCTCATTTAGGTCTGATTTTGTAATTTGAGATCTTGGTGGATGGGAGTCTTCAGGAGAAATGTCTAATTTGGGCTGTGTTGAAGTCTTCAAGTGTGAGCAAGAAAACAGGTTGTTCCTAACCCACAGGAGAAATAAGTCTTATTAACCTGAGGCCTTGGAAATGTTCATTCCTTCCGGAGGGAAGTTTAAATTACTGAATTGTCTTTTTATGAATTGTTTTCTCATCTGAGAAGAGACCAGGAGGGGCAGAGCCGGTCCTGGGACTCTCTGCCTGGCAGCAAATGCATCTTCTGCAGCCCCTCTCGGTCTTCCCTTATTCTCCCCTCCTTCTCCTTCTTGGCCACGCCTGCCTCCTGCGGGCCCCTTCCAGAAGCTCTATGGTATGTATGTGAACAGTGCCCTGTTTCGGTGGAGAAAAAAATGTCTTTTACATTTTTATTATTTTTTTTAAGTATCAGAAGTCTTAGTGCCTTGAAATATTTTCTATCTCTGGAGGGTTTGCTTAAAAATACATGTATTTATTAGGGAGAGGACCATGAGAGATACTCAGGGAGATATAAATGCTAATGTTGCCGCATCAGGGAGACAACCCAGGGTATAGAAGAAGGCGCGCCCTTCCCCCATGGGTAAAACTGACTCCACTGTTGTATTTTTTCTATGTTATTCAAACACTCACGTCTCTCTTCTCTGACTCCTTTCCAAATTTCAAACTGCGGCCCTGATTTATCCTTTCTTTTATGAAGGACACTCTTCCCTGCTGGCTTCTAAAGCTTCCACGGCTCATTACCATAGCAATAGGAGCCCGGTGTTGAAATCAGCACCACCAAAGGGCTGGGTAGAGCACCGCCCTCCCGACACCTGATCTCAGGTCCTGAGTTCACAGGCATTAAAAATAGAGAATATTATCCATTGAGCAAATTACTGCACGCCTCCAGACCTCTTCCCTCTCCTGTGCGTGACAGGAGTGAGTTTTTCTCTAACTCAGTGCAGAGGACCATCTTGAGATGGTCCTGTCCAATTCCACCCAATACAGGGGTAACTCAAAGTATAGGTCGGGGGAGGTGAAATCTACCCTCTGTATTCTGTACCTCCACCTGGGCTTCACCTCTTCACCCGTGTCCCTCCCCAGGGGAATCCTTTCTAGGTTGAGGTGCAGGAGCCTTTAGTCTTTCAAGGCATTTTTTCCAAATCTTTTCTAATAGCATGCCACCTTCTATTTCTTCCCCTGGCAAAGAAACTTTTCAAAGACCAGTAATTGAAATTTTTTTCTGTCTTTTTTCCTGTGTTACTTATACCCTTATGCAATCAATACAGATTTTTTTTAAAGTTATTTTGTGCAATCTATAGACCCTTTCTCAAAATAATATTTTTAAATGCATAAAAATAAAAAGGAAACCAATCATAATGAAACACAAGTTGTCAATATAGTCAAAAACAAATGTGTGATAGAGTTATATATGTGCTTCTTCGTTAATAAATTAATAAGATCAGGTACTGTGATTTGAAATTGCCAATGTGCATATGAGACATATGCCACAAATATGATGTGCTACGAAAATATGTGTGCTTTCTATTGGTTACAAGTCATGGATACTGTGAATACCATGAAGTACAATGCTTATATTAAAATTAAAAAGAAATGCTAAATTTCAGTTAGAGGTTATGTTATGTCAAGAACTGGGAAGCATCTGAGATTTTATCCTACTTGTTAGGGTAACAAATTAGCTGGAGAGAGTTTCATGGATGCTGATAGAAGACATGAGATTCCTGGGTCAGGCATAAAGGACAATTTATTACTCACCGCAACAGTAATAGTCAGAGGATCAGGATTTGTGCTGGTTCTCTGATCCCTATTTTCCACACAGTAATGCAAAGAGGGCTAGATGATACCTGCACACACAGTGGGTTGAATTATGTTATTTATTAAAATGTAATGGACTTATTGTTTTTTTTTTTTTTGAGACAGAGTCTCGCTTGTTGCCCAGGCTAGAGTGAGTGCCGTGGCGTCAGCCTAGCTCACAGCAACCTCAAACTCCTGGGCTCAAGCAATCCTTCTGCCTCAGCCTCCCGAATAGCTGGGACTACAGGCATGTGCCACCATGCCCGGCTAATTTTATATATATATATTAGTTGGCCAATTAATTTCTTTCTCTTTATAGTAGAGACAGGGTCTTGCTCAGGCTGGTTTCGAACTCCTGACCTCGAGCAATCCGCCCGCCTCAGCCTCCCAGAATGCTAGGATTACAGGCGTGAGCTACCGCGCCCAGCGGACTTATTGTTTTTAGATGAATTAATCAATATTTAAAAATTTTCTGTTTTAATTTCTAAAATAGTGATAGTGAGATTCAGATGATCAAAAACTCTTTGGGGTCATCAATAATTGTTAAGTTTGTTTACTTAAAAATTTCTGGTCCTGAGACCAAAAGTTTGAGAACCTCTGTTTCAACTGATCCACATAGTAGGGTTAGAAAGATAGGCAGAAAGGAATACTGGAAATAAAAATCATATTATATAATAATAAAAAACATTTTAAAAGAGGGTGTTGTATGAGATGATACCTAGGGTGACACCATTAGGACTCTGTGACATGGGGGTATAAAACTCTCATCAATACTGAATTCAAAGACACTTTATTGGAAGGAGGTGAGCACTAAACTCTGATCTTTTTTCTTTTGCCCAAATTCCTTTCTAAGGGGGCCTGGTGAGTCACATCTACAAATGATAAAATCTCACTAAACAGGTTTTGTTAACCCAATATAATGTGGTTTACTTCCCAACCTGATTCCATATAGCATCATATGAAAGATAGAAGACCCTTATCTTAACTCCTTTCCACTGACTCTGGTCTTTTAGACAAAGCCTAACTCTTTCAGCCAATTGTCAACTAAAGAATCCCTAAACCCACCTATGACTTGCAAGCCCCCACTTTGAGATGTCCCACCTTTTGGGGCAAAAGCAATGCATGCCTTCCATGTACTGATTTATGCCTTTACCTCTAATCCCTATCTCCCTGAAATATATAAAACTAAACTATAGCCCAACCACAGTGAGTCCACTTGCTTAAGGCTTCTTGGGCATGGCTCTGGGCATGGTCCTCAAATTTGGCTCAGAATGAACCTCTAGAGTTTGGCTTTTTTTTTTTTTCCACTGACAAGGGCAAGAGCATATGATGAAGGAATGGATCCTTTCAGCAGCCTGGTGAATCCAGTGCTTAATTCTTCCCTCTGACACAATATTACCTTAGTTCCCACCAGACTCTCTTAGAAAGAGCAGAAAAACAAGGAAGAAATCAGAAAAACTGAGCATCTTTCCAAAACAGACTGAAATAAGCATTAACTGCCTAGTGTAAGGCCCTCTCCCCAACTCTGCACCATTTCCCCAGGAGAACTCAAGAGGAAGATGAGATCCATGCTATACAAGCAAGCAGTGGCATTCTCTTCGTCCCACCAAGTCACTGCCCTCCCTGCACCTCTGTGAACTGGGTCTGGGTGTCTGAACAGGCTTTGCATCCTCAGGACTCCAGGATCAGTGTTACATGATCACAGGCTAACAAACCGGTGTTGTGACGTCTGGGCCTCCAAAAGCAGAAACAGAGTCTCTGGCATGCTGGGGGTGGGAGGCATAGGGAAAACTGGAAGAGGAGCCCACAAATAAAGACAAAAGTTGCCTCCTTTACAATTTTGCCTAGGATGAAAATGGAAGACAGCAGTACATATAATTTAGATTTCTGAATGCTTGCCTATCTCTATTTCCAGTCGTAAACCCTTGGCACACATAGCACTTCTTTTTTCCTTTCCCTTGCCTCTCCCCTTCTCCACTTTCTCCTTCTCATCATGTGGTTTATTTTAGAAGTGCTACATGATAAACGGCTGATGTAGAAGGAGATGCCCATGGCAAAGAAAGGCAGCTGCCTCTCTCTCCAGGCAACACCCTCCTTCCCCACAGCTCCATCCCTCCCCCCCCTTGGCCTTGACTTGCTGAGTCTTGAAGTCTCTCCTTCTGACTGATTGCCACACACTGGCCTCAGGGAGGTGCTGGAAAACCAATCAGTACCAAAGTATCGCTTTTGCTGCATAACAAAGGAGCGCAAAGTCTAGTGGCTTAAGACACGACAATCATGGTATTACTATTGCCAGGGTTCTGGGTGTTGACTAGGCTCAGCTGGGCACTTCTTGCTCAAGGTCTCTCTTGCACCTGCAGTCAGATGGAAAACTCAATGGCTGGGGGTTGGGCTTGCTTCAGAGTTGGAGGGGAATCACCTGAGGCTTCTTCACTCACCTGTCTGGAGGCTGATGACAGCTGTCTCCCAAGACCACAGTTGGGGCTGGCAGCCAGACACCTCCAAGTGGCCCTGGGCTCCCTCACAGCGACAACAAACATCCCAAGAGACAGCCAGGAGGAAGTGGTGTCACCTTTTGTGACCTACCCTCAGCCTCAGTTCTGCTGTCATCTGTCTGTTAGAGCTGTCACAATCCTCCACCCAGACTCAGGGGGAAGGGACACAGACCCCAGTCTCAATGAGAGGAGTGTCCAAGAATTTGGGGGCCAAAACAAGTCAAAGTTTTCCCCTTATCCAACTTAGTTAAGACTGGATCACTGAAACACCAGCTTTCCTAAAATATTTTGGCTTCACTTGTCATTAATATAGGTAACCTGCCTTACTAGGAATGGCAAAGACAGCCAGCTGTCACTAAAAATCTCTTCCTTTCTTATTTAGGAAAAGCACCCTGTTTTTAGCTGGGCACATGGCTTCCCACAATACGAGCCTCTATTTCCCAGATGCCTAGCAGCTAGAGGTGGACATGTGACTAAGCTCTGGAGAAGGAGTGTAATCAGAAATGTCATGTGTAACTTCTGAGAGGTGTCCTTAAAGGGAGGGAAGGAGCTCTTCTTCCTCTGTCTCCTTTCTGTTGGGGGGAATGTGGAAGTGGCAGCTTTGGTTCCAATGGCCATACTGGACTACGAGGACAAGGGCCACCCAGGATTAGTGGAACCTGAGTCTCTGCAGACTTTGCAGACCTATCCTTTCAGCCCAAGACCACACACTTAAAGACTTATTCTGAGAAATGATAAAATTTTGTGGGCAAAAGTCACTATCATTTTGGGCTTCTCGTGCTGACAAGTCAGCTGAACCTAATCCTAAAATGATGTATACACCAAAGCTCACTCTCTTGACTTCACGTCCCATAGAGCAGAACTCTAAAGGGAAAAGGATCTTCCCCAGTTCCTGGTGAATACTGTTACTACTTACTCACTGGATCATTAGAGTCTCTGTTGATTCCAGTGTTTCTCAGGTGGATTCTGTTGTCATTGGGAGGTGGAGGCATGCTTTGGGACATTTAACTGAAGGTCAATAACTGACCTTTCCCTCACCCTACTCCTACAAATCACTGTTAAAAAACAAAAGTCTCCCCACATTTCCAAACACTCCCTAGGTACATGATACCACTCTCAGTTGAGAACCTCTGCTATAAACCAAGAAAGTGAGCCTGACCCTCTCTTCCCCACCTACCTTAGAAGTTCTTTCCTCCTGATGACTAATACTGGGCATGACCCATCCAAAAACCCACATTGGTGTGACCTCACCACGTCACCCTTGGTGGATGCAGTGGTTCTTAACTCAAGTTACAAGCAAATCTTGCTGGGTGCAGAGAGCTTGCCAGATTTGGTAAGATGGGAATCGCTGGGCACACGGATCAAGCCAGGACAGCAGAACTGGGTGCAAGGACTTCATGGTGCATATTTGTGTGAGAAGAGAATACACATCAAAACAAAGGACAGAAACCACTGAAACATAATTGACATTGATATTTCAAGGTATATTTTTAAGAAAGATCTTCATAGAAGTCATTGAGCCAGACAACCTCTTATGTTTGCAAGTCTGCAAGTATTCTTAATATTGCTACAAGGTTAAACAACCAGGAATCCAGGAGTCTCTCATTCCAGTTATGACTCGAGGTCAAAGAACTAATCTACTTCAGAAGTCGTCTGAAGGGGCGGAGGGAATACATCTTGAGAACTAAAGACATGCAAGCATTAAATCATCTTTCCTACAACAACTTCACCTTGGTGCAAACACATACATTTTTCTCATATATACTGGACTAGGATACTTCCTTATTTATACCAGACCTCACGTCTTCAGGCTGGTCCCCATATTTCAGGATACCCTCGAGCATGGCCCTTTTTCTTCTCACCTGCTCAACGAAACTGACAGGCATTGCATGTGGTCCCTGTCTGCACCTGCAGCTGGCTCCTCCATAGTCTCTTGCACCTGGACCACGCTCTAATGTGGGCCTCCCACCAAGAAGACAAAATAGTGAAGGCAGCTGTGCAAGAAAGAGCATCAGTTTTGAAAGATGTTGTAAGTTTCACAGAACACTAAGGCAGGCGTCCTCAAACTACAGCCCACAGGCCACATGCGGCTCGCCGAGGACATTTATCCGACCTGACAGGTGTTTTTGCCACTGCTGCCAGTCCTGCTTAGCAGCCAACTCGTCCCGGGCCCACAGTGCTGGATGTGTGGAATGTGCCCCGCACTCTCCAACAGCCCTCCAACGGTCTGAGGGACAGTGAACTGGCCCCCTGTTTAAAATGTTTAAGGACCCCTGCACTATGGCATCTCTTTACTCAATGTTAGGAGGCGTTTAAAATTTAACATGTCTTTCTCAACTTTAAATCACATTAAAGTTCATGACATCATGAGGGTATAATCGTACTGTTTTACAACCCCAGTCAATACAGAAGACTGAAGACAGTTATTTGAATTCCTAAAACTATGAGAGGCGTCTACTCTAGAATGAGGATTAAAGTGCAGGAATTCCTACTTTCCTTTGACTATAACAACCTGCATTTTTCACAGGTGAATAAAAAATCTTCATTTTTTAATTTTTATTTTTTATTTCTTGAACAGAAGGAGTTAGGAATAAACCCTTCTTTTAACATAGGATTGCCAGACTCAGCAAAACAAACAAACAAACAAACAAACAAACAAACAAACACCCTACCCAGGATACACTGTTAACTTCAATTTCAGATAAACAATTTTTAAAACTTATCTGTCCCATGTAATATTTGGGACATTTATAACTAAAAAGAAAAAAAGTTATTTGTTGCTTATCTAAAGTTCATATTTAACTGGCAAAGCTACACAGATAACAAAAGGACTCATAGTCAGGATTCTTTTGGCTGTTTTGTGACAAAACCCAGCTCAAATTAGCTTAAGTAAAATGGGAAATTAATTGGCTGATATAACTGAAAAGTCCATGGTCAGATATGGCTGAATCCAGAAGACCAAAAGACATGAACACTAGGTATTTGTCTCTCTCCTTCTCAGCATATAAGGCCAATGTCTCCACATGGTGGCCCTAAGCCACCTTGTCCTGTGATGGAGTCTCATGGGGTTAACTGGGTCATGTGCCCATTTCTGAACCAACTGTCATAGCCTCAGACATTGTCTTAGTTCCTTATGGCTGCTGTAACAAATTACCATGCCTAGATGGCTTAAAACAATGCAAATTTTATTCTCTTATAGTCCTGGAGGTAGGGCTGTGCTCCCTCCAAAGGCTGTAGGGGAGGATCTAGTCCAGCTTTTGGGGGCTCCAGATGTTCCTTGGCTTGTGGCTCCATCACACCAATTTCTGCCTCTGTAGTTACATTGCTTTCTCCTTTTATCTGTCTGAAAACTCCCACTTCCTTTTTCTTACAAGGACACTTATGGCTGCATTTAGGGCCTACCCAGATAATTCACAATTAGCTCCTCTTCTCAAAATCCTCAACCTAATCCCATCTTTTGCCATATAGGGAAATGGTTACAGATTCCGGGGATTAGGAAATGGATATATCTTTGGGACAAGCTGCCACTTGGTTCACTACAGGTATTTAGGATGGAAGTCAGTGAGGAATAGCTCTCCAAAGAATGATGATGCTGATACTTGAAAAAGGGAAAATTGGATGCTGGAAAGTAGCCACAGCAAGATATTTACAGCAAGAACTTTTTAGTCTGTTCAATTCATGTATAGTTGACCCTTGGACAATGCAAGGGATAGGGGTGCCAACTCCCTACATAGTCAAAAATATATGTGTAACTTTTCACTGCCCCCAAACTTAACCACTAATAGCTTAACCACTAATGACCACTAAAACCACACTAATAGCTTACTGTGGAATAGAAGGCTTATCAATAACATGAACATTTGATTAATGCTATTGTGTATATGTGTTACATGCTGTATTCTTGCTTTTATTTTGAGACAAGGTTGCCTAGGCTAGAGTGCAGTGGCACGATCATAACTCACTGTAACCTCAAACTCCTGGGCCCAAGTGATCCTCTTGCCTCAGCCTCCTGAGCAGCTAGGACCATAGGCGTGAGCCATCATGCCCAACTACTTAAAAAACAAAATTTTTTTTTTCCAGAAACGGGGGGTTTTACTATGTTGCCCAGGCTGGTTTTGAACTCCTGTCCTCAAGCAATCCTCCCACCCTGGCCTCCCAAAGTGCTGGGATTACAGGCATGAGCCTCTGTGCCCAGCCCACGTATACTATATTCTTACAATAATGTAAGCTGGAGAAAAAAAATATTATTAAGAAAATCATAACAAGAGAAAATATTTACTATGCATTAAGTGGAAGTGGATAATCATAATGGTCTTCATCTTTGTCATCTTCATGTTGAGTAGGCTGAGGAGGAGGAAGAGGAGAGGGTGGTCTTGCTGTCACAGAGGTGGCAGAGGCAGAAGAAAATCCATGTGTAAGTAGACCCATGCAGTTCAAACCTGTGTTGTTCAAGGGCCAACTGTATTAATATTTGGAAAGTGCCTACAATGTGCTGGGCACTGTGCTACCCCCAGAAGCTTCTAGTCCAGACTGAAATATTTGCCCAGCACCTACCGTGCAAGGGTTGAGGAGAATACAAAGCTAATGAAAGAAGAGTCCCTTCCTTTGGGAACACTTCAGACTTGATGTGTGGGGCAGAAAGTGGTGGGTGCTGAGAGGTTATCCTGACTGGCGCTGCTGAGCCGTAAGAAAGTGCAGGGGAAAAGACCTTCCAGACGTAGAGCAGAGCAAGCTGGGCTGTGGGAAAGCAGAGATAGTGGCCCAGTGTGCTTAGAAGAAATTTGGACAGATGGCCTAGAATGTTAAACTAAGATTCTATACAGGCAAGGAAAAATCACTGAAAGTTCTATGAGTAGTGGCCAGATTGGTATTTTGGGAAGATTATAATGTCGTGGAGAATGGTTTGGTGAGTTTCAGGTAAAAGTACTGCATTTCCTTCCTATCCTCCATTTAGGAGGATGCCTCAATCCACACTGGCCCTTGTGGTTTTGCTTTAAGCTTTTCCTCCCTTAGGGCTGTCTGTTGTCACGGGTAGGGCTTCTCTT